ATTCGCGATAGCGACGAAAACGGAAGTTGTAAACTTTATTTTGGTTTGAATACAACTGGTTGCTGTGGTAATCTTAAAAACTGACAAAAAAATATAAGTGTACCGCACGTTCGTTGAAGTTTCAAATGAAACACTAATACAATGCATCAATATCTTTATTTAAATAAATATCTGTGACAAGTTACTGGAGGTTTAATACTAACTTCCCACACATATTTTTTATATCACAAAGTATATTTCTTGTGCAAAAATGCGGCTATTTTATGTTGAAGAGTGGAGTTGAGGACCACTACGTCATTCACAAAATCCATTGTGAAAGTTAAGACAGGGAAATAACCTGCCAGACAAAAGAAGCGTTATTGTGTAATCATTACCCTTTTTAAGACCCCAAACGTTGCAGTCGTTCTAAATGTAAGCACTTATATTTTAAATACATCGGTCCGATATATTATCCATGACGTCAAGCATTTTTGCAAACTTATTTCAAGCAAGTCATCAAACTGCTATGAGATCCGTTTGCTAACAGATTAGATGATATTGAAAGATCCAAATTACATTAGAACTTGTTAAGATCTCGCGTCGGCCTCTAGCATCCGTAAAACTATGTTCTTATCTGGCATATAAAGGACTAAAACACGGGAAGTCGCAGAACTAGCTCGATCTAATCCAAAATGCAAAGCCAAACTTACTGAATAAATATTGTTTGCTTGATTGAGTTCTGCATGATAGACTGATGGATAATATGTGTATATTTGGTCGTTCCGATAAGGGTTTCTCTATTGTCTTTGCCCCTATTAAGCCGGCGGCAACCCAAAATTTAAGATAAGAGTCTGAAATTGAACGTGACGAGTGATAATTCAAACACACGTCTATCATGATTGTCTTGAATTGATTCCATGTTCACCAAGAAATTTATAACCCGATAGCCAAAAATATTTAAGGTACACCAACCTCTGTTAAGCGGCCAACCCAAAAGCTCTCAGATCGCTCACAATCATTTGCCCAAAGAAATTTTCACAGGAATCTGCAGACCATCCTTCTGCGATTCAACCATGAGAAGGTTAATCCATTTGAAGGCTTCGCACATGGTGAAAATTAATTATATTCATGAAGTACTTTTAAGTGAATGAAATACATGTCGTCGAAATTTAATTATTTTGCACCTAAAAAGACAACGCAACATTTTCTACAATCAACCCAGTACACATTCAAACATTGCACAAAAATGTTTGAGTGTTTTAAAGACGGAAGAATGATGTGGTTTTGCATGCGAGGCTCTCAAACTTGTTTAATAAAATGGTGCGTCAAATGACGATTTTAACGGATTTGGTAATTTGCATATTTCTTTGTAACAAAAGGATATTTTGCCAAAAAAACTACCCAGTAGTTTTTGTCATGCCCTATCCTATCTACCATAAAAATGTGAGCGAAATCGAATTTTCCATATTTATGGACACGGACTTAATCTCGACTGAATGGCCTCGAGTTTTCAACACACTTAATTTTTTTGTAAGAAAGTGTTTCCATCAAAAGTGACTTAACTTAACTGTTGTTTCGTCTGACACTAAGACTTCGTGAAAAGTTGCCCATATTCTACATCTACATCTACATTATGGGGTTCTTGCAAAGGGAGGCATGCTCCCATCACTGCAAGACATTAAATAAAAAAAAAATAAAAAGGAGGGTGGGGGGTAAAAAAACCTTAAAAATATATAATAAAATATGTATATAATTTAAAAAGATTACTTAGAGAAGTTAATTAAGATTAAAAAATTAGAACCTAATTAACCAGAAAACGTCATTAGCAAATGCCCGACGGAGCCTATCAACGTTAATGATATTCTGTCAAAAATATCATTCAACAACGACCAGTGTTATTTTTAAGGTTGTGCTTTTCGACAATAGTTCTGGTATCTAGTTTGCTCTTTCATTTAATGAACAAAAATCAACAAAGTGTAATCACGTTAAAAGCTTATTCGGCTGGTCGACCACACTCCCGTACATTATCAGGAATTTATCAAAGTTAGGATACCGGAAATTAATTAAAAAAGCGAAGGCAGATGTAGGACATTGAAATTCTCACTACTAAGTAGAAACTGTGGCGATGATCGGAATCATAAAGGCTTTCCTTAGATTGTTTAAGCACGTTGAACGTTTTATTTCAGCAGTTGCTACAAAATAATAAGCAGTGCTTTTAATTCTCCAGTGATTTTACTTTACACATGAAAGAGTTTCTGAAGCTTTTGTTGTAATATAATATCTTTGGTTCCTTTGCTTTAAATAGAAAGCAACTGGTTAGAAGTCTCACTTGTTGTGAAGTAAATATACAGAAAAGCATACCCAAAGTTGCTTATTTAATACTCCTGGACAGTATTTTATTTTAATTCTTCACAGAACAAGCGTTATGCATCATGCACCCTCAAGAGGTCTAGTTTAGCGCCAGTTCGTCATCTTGACGCACCACTCACCACCGGTCAGGCAGTGTTGGACACGACTCGGAAAGCATGCCAGGATAAATTTTCCCTGGAGCTCATTTTCATCTGATCGCTGAACGGCAAACATCTCCACGCGCTGATGGTGATGTGGAAATATGACTTATAGGAGGTTCCCTCGCATCCGATGCTGAAAGAAATCTGGAATGACATCCATATGAGATATTCCGCAGGCCAAGTAATAGCTGTAGATGACTTCTGCTCGATTCACAAAGCCACCAGTTTCAGTGCTGAACAGATGATTTTTGGAGTCGAAGCTTCGCGGTTCATCGAATCTTTACGGTTGAAAGATAAATTATTTCCGTTTCTGACCTCTTCGAATTCGATGCCGGAATTGAACCTACCTTTCCTTCTTAGGCATCTCGACTTGCATATAAAGTGTATCAGTGTATCGCTGGCCAACAACATGGTTGTTGACAGATATTATGGTTTTGTTGGACGATAAGAGAGCTGAGGTTGGTAAAACTTACGTAGAAAAGGGTGAATAATTCGGAATCAAAGCAATGTTTTGTCCTTGAAAACTTGTGTAAAGCTTGATTAATCGAGTTTCGCCCGCTGTATTTCTTTATCAACCAAAAAGAATCATAAACAACTTGCTAATGAGCTATGGCTCTTTCAAAATAAAAATAATTTGCAATAAATGGAATTAAGAAGCTAGAAGCTTAATGGGAGAAGTAGGGTATGTTTTGCTTCAATATAAGTGGTAAAAGGTAATTGTATTCGTCCCCTGTACCAGGTCACACTTCCAGCAAATTCTTGTTCAACTAGCTTACAAATTCAGGATTAAATGTGTGCTGTGTGGATCTATTTTGTAGACAATGGGATAACACGATTTTGGTCTTGCTCAACTTCCTTGAATGCATTTAAAGTAAAAGGCAAATGACTTTGCCTCAGACATTGCCACTGGCAATATCAATGTTCAAACTGGTGAGAGTTTGAGATTTCTCTTCACCTAGTGCTTAGGTGTTGGATTTAACGTGTATCTGCTCCAAGTGCCCCATTCCTGGGTTCTCAGTAGATGTGGCTGGCCATGTAAAAGGGAAAATCGGGCTCAATGGAAACAAGGCTTGGTTGAGTTACATGAAATGAACGCTTTGGACAAATAATATACCTCGTGCTATTTAAAGTGGTTGCAACTAAAATTGCAGATGGGAGATGTAAAAAAAAAAACTGACTTATATTTACTTGCAAATAATAATTCAATTCCAAAGTATGTTTTTTAAACTGAATATTTGCAAAGTACTGACAAGCACAACAAAAAAACCAGCAAAACAGCACAAAAGCCATATTCTGGTAACAGCGGCTAACATATAAGTTATAATTTACTAATGTATAAGTTCACTTATAAATTAGTAAACTGAAAGATTGTGAATGATAGGCAGGGTCAATTGGCAATGAATGAATAGCTCATGGTCCTCACCTGCCTTCATTGCATATCCTCATACCACACCTCTGCTGAAGTTTCAGGTTCAAAGTGAGTTGTGTAAACTTAAGGGAGCTCTTTACCCAGAACAGTACTATGTAGGTCATATGAAATATCTGCCAGTTTAAAATTTATTATTTACGGCAAGTCCTGTGGTCAACAACACAATGGTCATGCACTGATATTAACATTTTCTATAGTGGCTATTAAACATTTTGCCAAAAACAGTCTCCACAGCACTTCCTTGTGTCGACTCGTAATGACTGTGACAACTGAATTCAGAATAATCTAGCATGTAGTTGTATCCTAGATCATCTATAGTGAGATGTTTTGACTGCGATAACTAAATTGTAACAACATTTTAAAATACAAGCAGATGCACTATATTGAACACTTGCAGTGACTCTTAAATCTTGGGCTTGCCATGCAGCTTTCTAAGTAGTCACTTGCATTATGTCATAATGATTTCTGTTTCGGTCTATTCCATTCTAAATTCAATATCCTAAACAGCACCATGCTGTAGCTTTCCTTGTTTGATCACTACGGTGTAAGTGGATAAATTTAGTTATTGGGAAATATAGCAAAGTTAATTCCAAGCCCATAGTCTTTTAAAATACCAGCTGGTAATTCAGCATTTGCTTCAAACACATTGGCTGGTTCTGGGTTGACAATTATGCGTAGCTATACACATGAAACACTTATTATTTATTGATGTATAGTCTGCCACTACTACCAACATTCAAAGAAAAACAGGCATAAAGAAGTGGGAGATCAAAAACAATCGGCCATAGATGACTGAACAATAACATCCGATCCAAGAGTGGTAAATTTCTGTTAGAGATAACAATTCAAGACAGGCAGTGACCTTGAAAGTGAAAATTCCCTGTAAATTAAATGATATCTTTAATGGACTAGCATCCAAAGCAGGATCCAAAATCTTGAACATCTGCCAAACAAACGAATGACATACGCACTACAAAAAGACATAGCACAAAAACATTAAGATGTAAAAGGAACAAGCCAAGCCACAACATTATACTCTTAAAACAAGGGTAGAAATCACACAATCAGTCCCGCGAAATACCGCCAACATCTGACAAATCAAGGGAAATGCCCCAACTTCGAGTCCGATTTTGACCGTTAAAACGGCGGGGTCCGCCTGGGCCAGCCGGACTTTTCTTAAAGTTCAACTCTCGACCTAGAGTTTCACGCAAAAATAATTCACAATACTGATCCCTGTTACCCCGCAAACGACCAAAAGAATATCCATGTCAAGCGCGTGTGGTAAACAACGTTTTCAACTTCGCATGATTTCCATTGACTAGTTTTGATGCAAAAATTGCTTACCTGCACTTGAGGCTTGCCAAATAACTGGTCTAGATATTATACTAGCAGCTCCTAGAAAAGGTTCGCTTGTTTCTCGTGATGAGTGCAGAAATCGGTCGAGAAACGACAACCTATTCTCCATTCGCAACGAAAAATGTGTCCGCCATTGCTCCGGCTAAGACGACATATGATTGGTCGAATACTGTCATGTGGACCGTGTCCAACACCGCCTGACTGACCACGAAGAATCGTTATCATAATAACGGAACAATTAATTAACTGTATTTTCACGCAGTATTTTCGATGGCCCGCCGGGCATTTAAACTTGTTTTGACGGTCGAAGTGGGTAAAACTACGTTGACGTGTAAGCGGAATGATCGAGCGGACGATGAATGCTAGAAAAGTTCGCTTCGCAAACGAAACTTTCTCCGTACTTTTACTCTCGGTTTTCGTTCTGCTATTAAGCCCAGTTGGTGCCAGCCTCCTTGATCCAACTCAAATTGGAAGGGAGCTGCAAACGTTTGCGAGGGATGCCCTTGGAGTGGATGAAATGCAGGTAAGAACAATAGGAAATTTTTGTAAGTCAGAGTGCATGATATCAGTTCAACTGTTGGTCTTACTGGTTTGAGTGAGGGACATGTAGCCTTAAAAAAGCTCAAACACAAGCTATCCGCATAATCAAAATCCCCATCCAAAACTTTTTCCAGCTCCTCTAATCTTCGTTTTCGAACGTTTAGGTCTGATTAGATTTACCAATCGGTTAATAGTTTGTCGCAGCGTTATCGTTCAATATCTCTCAAACTTCTTCCTTTTGGCAGTGTATTAATTAGGTTTTACAATTTTAGTTTAAAAAAAACTATTTCGAAATATTTTTGGCGGTTTTACCCAGTTATTCATAACTCGCTTGCTATTAACTTTTGAAAATCCGTCCAGTAGGACTGATTGGATTAAGTTGTGTTACACGCAAATGATGAGTCACTGAGGCGCGAAAGTTTTTTCACATTCATGCACGTTTCCAAAGAGGGTCATTTAATACTCTCCGGCTGACGCCGACTGGGAGATAATTTTTCACTTTTTGCTCAATTTTGCCGTTTTCTGCTTTGAAAGTAGAACTCTGGTATAGCTCTTACCGAAATATTACTATTTTCCCGACAGTTTTTGTCATTTGTTGTCTAAATTTTCCACATTCATGCAAGTTCCCAAAGACGTTCGTTTTATACTCACCCGCCGAGGACTAAAATATGCATACATTCTTCTCCTATACAAAGAGGCTTATTATATCCTCTAAGTGAAGTGTTCTAACTGTTGCATATTTGTTATCTTTTAGAATTATTTTGACAGCCTTCAGTATCAGAAGCGGACCATAAAAGGAGAAGACATCACTACACATCTAGTGGTGAAACTCTCTGACAAGTTTAAAACAAGGTTTGAGGTTGCCAAACGCCTGAAGAAAACAGTCGAGGACTCGTACGCCAGGTCAGCGAAAGCTGCACCACAAACAGAATGCTGCCACGTCAACAAATCGACTTTGAAGTACGATGTACGATTTCGCTCAAGAGTGGATCTCGACAATGTTTGTTTGAAGATTTCAGGCAGCGCATCTCCAAACCCAATCCATTTAGACGAGGGCGTTTTCAAGGAAATGAAAGACATCTCGAAAACGTATTCCTTCATAAAGTGGCAGTACTTTGGATCAGAGCAGGGTGTCATGACCAACTTTCCAGTGTTTGACGACAAAGAGGAATGTGACAAGTATGATCCCCGTTACAGACCATTTTACGTGGAAACCGCCACCCCTGAAGCTAAAGACGTGGTGCTTGTTGTCGACATAAGTGCGTCCATGACAGGAGAAAAACTTTACATCGCCAAAGAAGCTGCGAAAACAGTTTTGGATACCATGAACCCAAAAGACCAGGTGGGTGATCAGGGGCATGCAACGGATTTGTCCCGTTATTATAATATCTGTTCGCAGGCCTATTTCCTGAACTACCCCCCGATGTTTACATGCGGGTCCTAAACTCGAATTGGAAGTTTGGAGATGTTGGTTCTCGTGGATGAGGGAAATCCGGAATTCCCGGAGAAAAACCCTCGGAGAAGGCGAAAACCAACAACAATCTCAACTCATTTCTGGCAGGGATCCGGGATCGAATCCGAGTGACTTAAATTGGGAGGCGAGCACTCTCACCACTGCGCCATCCCTGCTCCACTGCGGCGAAAAACGTTATAAATTGTAATCGTAACGACCCAACCAGGGACCTCATGGCGATGACGATACGTGACTGATGCATTTGGGCTGCATGTGTACTGTCAGACCTTTATCATATTAATTTATTTCTGTAGGTTGGTATCGTGGCATTTAACAATTACGCTTCCACTCCAGGAGATGTTGGAGGCAAAAGTCGCTGCTACAGTGAAGGGTTAGCTTTGGCAATCCCTACAAATATCAGAAAAATGAAAAGTTATGTCGATGGGCTGGTGCCTCATGGTAAGACGAAAGATCAGTGATGTTGATATCTGTGTTTGTCGCAAGGGTATAAATCAAGTATTCTGGCCTCACTTAGGGTGTTCATGACAAAACGCCACTATTTTTAGTATCTTTAAAGGTGCACTCAAAGAAATAATAGTAATGTAACGTTCTTATTTTTGTCTTTAGGTTCGATATCTGCCTGTCTCTCGAGTCTCTATACTAGCCCAGGCTCCTTTCCCAAACAGCGGCTGGCAATCGAGCCTCTTCAGTTTTAAGTGATATCTTTTGGTGGTCAAATAAAGCTCGAGCCACGCCCAGATTGGTTCCCTTTAGGCGCTTAATTCAAATTTTTACGTTAAGCATCCCTTACCTTGTCATATGAGAGTTCGCCCGAATGCCTGCCTCGCCAAATGAACTTCACCCCCAAACACCGTTCGGACACGTTCGATCATGTCACCCCTTAAAAACTGTGAAGTGTAATTACTGCATGTGCTCTTTTTGATTTACAGGTCAAACTCAATACAGATTGGCGTTTGAAAAAGCTTTCAGTCTACTGAANTTTGATAGCCAGCTCCATAAGCTTTAATTTGATATAGGGGTTTAGGTATCTACAGTTTAAACTGCACGCGCTACATCGCTTGCGCGCGAGACACCCCTGAAGGTATACTGTAACCTTAAATCAAATTTTCCGTTAAGCATCCCCTACCTTGTCATATGAGAGTTCCCCCGAATGCCTGCCTCGCCAAATGAACTTCACCCCCAAACACCGTTCGGACACGTTCGATAATGTCACCCCTTAAAAACTGTGAAGTGTAATTACTGCGTGTGCTCTTTTTGATTTACAGGTCAAACTCAATACAGATTGGCGTTTGAAAAAGCTTTCAGTCTACTGAAAGGCTCAGTCTCTGAAGAGCCGGGAGAGAAGAAGAAAAGAGTCATTCTATTTCTGACTGATGGGGCACCTTCAGATGAAAACAAGGAACTGATTTTCCATACCATAAGAGATAAAAACTTTGAGCTTAACAATTCGGTCATCATTCTAACGTATGGATTTGGCAGTGCAGTGAATCAGACTATTCTGGAAGACATCGCCGAGCAAAACACAGCAAAATATGGTGCACCTGCAAGCACTTCTGTCGGAGACATCACGGTAATAAATGAAGTGTTAGTTCAAATGATATCGTTAACCGCTATCTGCGGCAGAGATGTTGCGACACTCGCCTGTTTGACACGTTGCATGACATATTAGGGAGTTTTAATAATGACGACAGCAACACCGAGGAGGACGCCTTGCAAAAAATTGATTCATATTTTACCTTTGAATGTTGCGACTGTGTCATCTGTTCTGGTTAAATATGAAATGAATGCTTTTAATTCCAAGGGAAGATACGAAAACTGCGATTCACGTTTCCCCCAAAAAAGGGGAACTTGGTCATTTCACGTTCTTGTTTTGCAGATGACGGGTATATGAAATGTACCAAGATTCAAAACGCTTGTGCAGAACCGTTGCTTTGCTCGTTAAACCTTTTGTTTTGTGACGTTCTCGTTAGTGTCGCCGTCGTAGTTTGCTAAAGCCCCCTATTGCTTAACCAATACGGTGGAAGCTTTCTTAATGGACACCTCCACGATACAGAAACCTTTATGTAGCTATTTGTTTCAACCTATGAACTTCATTTCAGGGAAACCATGATTCGTATCATCCTTAGTTACTTCTATGGTTCGGACACCTCCGAAATACAGAAGTTCAGCTGAGGCCATCAGATATTGGCCAAAAAGACGTTGAACTAAAACTGCCGTTTTAAAAATTTGCACCACCGCTTGTCAACTGTGTTTATAGTTGAAGCCATCAATCAACATCAATAAATTCATTAACCGGGCTGACCGGGCTCTAACTTGTGAATGCATCTAATCAGCTCTTATCTTATCTCTGTAGCGTGGAGAATACACTTATGTCGAAGACATCAAGAACCTAAGAATTAAAATGGGAATGTATTATAATTTATTCGCACTGGGAAAGCAGCTTGACCCTGTGGTGTCTGTGCCTTATGTTGACGCTTTTGGAACAGGTAGGATATATTCATCATAACAGTTCATACTTACCACTATGGTTTATAGTGTATAATGGACTGTTTGCAGCTGTTTCATTTTCCCAAATCTCAAATCGTCGACTGCGCGCGTTAAAAAACCAGAAAGAAAATTGCGGAAGCCATAGTCATTCCTAAACCTGTCTTGATCGGAAGCAATATATCAGGAAAATGAAACGCATCATATAGATCCTGCACCAGTGCCGGTTAAAATAATAGCAAAAAGTGTTTCTTTATTGAAAATGCGTGATTCAAACTGCGCCAGTGGGATAAAAATTGACAGTACACTGACTAGAGTGTTCGTTATTAACTTTCCGTATCATATCTAACAAACCAGTCATCATTAGCAGGCATTGTTGCTGTAGGTTGAATCACTTTACTTTTCATAAAGGCTTCAAGACTTCCCAACAAATGCCGTTTTCACGGTTACCTTTGCTCATTTGCATTACAGTAAAATCGAGCATGTAAATGAGGCAATTTCGGGCTATTTTGTAGTTTTAGCCCGAAACTTTCTCGCATCCACGTTGGATTACATTGTAATGCAAATGAGAAAAATTAACTGTGTAAAGGGCTATTATTAACAATATACCCATGTTATCGGTTATTGAAATACTGCACATGAATTCTTTATCTTCATTTTTAGGACTTCTTATGTCGATCACGCTCCCTTGTTTTCATCAAGGAAAGTTTATTGGCGTGGCAGGCACTGATATCAACATGGATGATCTGTTGTCAGATATCACGTTCTTTAATCAAGGTCAAAGCACCTATGCGTTTATGATCAGTAACTCTGGAAGGACATTAATTCACCCGCTCCTTCCAGCTCCAACCGATGCGTACGGGGACCCCGTTTTTCTGGACATAAGGACATTGGAACCAGAGGCAGAGTTCGAAGAGGTTTTCTATTCAATAAAAAGGTATGTTCACGGTTTAAAGTACGCTCCTTGCTGATTCACTTCCTTGTTGCGCTCAATATTGCTCCACAGCGCCTCCCGTAGAATATACCCTTGCCTATTGATACGTAGCACAGACCGGAATCGAAAAAAAAAAAAGTATTTTGATATTGGGTAAAGGACATTCCTCCCGTCTTGAAAGCTGATATTGTGACACTCTTGAATTTAGCAAGGTGCATCCATTTTGTTCTTTCCTAGTGGAAAATCTGGATCGAAAACATTTGTTGCTAAACGATTTCTGCCAAGAGGGGGAAAAGAGAAAGAAGGAGTAACAGTAAAAGAAGTTAATTCCAGATACTTCTGGAGGCCATTAGTAGGAATTGATTTCTCTGTGGGTGTGGTTGTACCTGTTTCCCATGCTGAGGATCAACTTACCTCACTCAAAATTCCTGCAGGTTAGTTTTTTTATAAGAATACATCAATCATTTGCAGTTCCTAGTAGATCAATTAAAGTTAATGGTTTCATATGTTCAAGGCTCAAGAATACATAAAGGATCTCCTCTGTCACAAGGCTAATATGAGATTCTCACTACACTTGGTGACCGCGCCTTTTATCGTTCCGGTCTATTTTTACGGAACAATTTGCCCGTAATCATACGATCAAGCTCGTCTTTGGACATTTTTAAAAAACGAGGGAAGACATATCACTTATGACTGTTTATAATTTTTGTACATCTTAGTTACATAAGCCCTTTTATATTTTTGTGTTTCTAGCACATTTTATGCTTTTTATAGACCTTTGTTTTACTTTGTTAGCTTCTTTTTATATGCAGAACGCTTTTGAATATTTTATAGTATTAGTGCTATATATAAATTTATAATTATTATTCTTATGAACATTATTATTATGAATATTGTCATTATCACTGTTATTATTTTTATTATTATTATTTGTGACATCTGCGACGGTTTAAAGCAATATTTTCGGAAACAGAAAATATAGTCCCTTCTTATCAAGTGCATGCACGTTTCCCAGTTAAACAAAGATCGATGAAAACGTGCACTTACACATGACGTCAGCCTAAGTGAAAAGGACGGACTGAAGCAAGTATATATTGCTCTGATAACTCGTCAAACGTTTTAACTGGTTGATTTTGTGGTTTCGTTGTTGTTCTTCTATAGACTACACGTTTAAATATCACCGAATTGACCTGAATTATCCGGAGAAGCCGTGTTCTCAGTTTGGGACACATGCTGCTAAAGGTAGGTTGAGCAAAGCGGTCACTAAATGCCTTGCAAAATAAAGACCTTCCTCACGATCTGAATCTATCCAATCTGATGGGAACTGAACTGAGTAAGGAGGAAGCTAAAATCTGCTTTCTACGTTTATAGCTTTACCTGCATTTGAGCGGCATTTGGGCAGCTGGCACCACTCATCAAAAGAAACCAATTTTGATATCCCACAGGGATATCCAAGGGACCTGTTCCTTTACGAATCTCTTCCCTAGCTAAAGTTCTGCAGGCTGGAAAACCCAGCAGCACTCACCTAGTTGATGTAACCTTCATATTCAAAATTTGTTTGCTGCCATGATACTTGTATCTTGGTTGAGTGAGATGTGTCTGAGAGAAGTATTGAAAGATAGCCGGCCCATTTAACCGCCCAATTGGTGGATTATGCGTTTAGTGACGTGTGCTCTGTATCACTAGAACGAGAGACGAAAGCAAATAAGGTTAAAGATAATCATAGGCTTTAACGAATGGCTATTGTTTTGTGTCCGGCAGATTCCCCAAAATATATTTTCAGATAAAGGTGGCGATGGACGAATTACTGTAAAATACAGAAAAAAGAAAGCTGTTAATGTGACAGTCAGCGCGCCACCCATTCGCACTTTCTTTCATAACAAGCTGTTGTTGTAAGAATGTCTGGCTAAGCTTAGATTGACAAGAATACTAGGAAGACACTGAGGACATATTCAATCTGAGACATTCACAGGCAGTTAGAGCATCGAGCTCTAAATACGGCACCGTACTCCACAACTCACTAAAAACAAGCAGCAACAGCCTCAGAAATTAGACTTTGTTATAAAACGAAAATGACCGAATGAGGTTTAATAATACATTTTCTCTAATAGACACCACTGTGGTAAAGTTTGCTCCGGGAGCCTATTTAGACCCATACGAGTATATAGGCAAAGATGAGACAAAGGCTGACGTGNCTCCCTAAATAAATGAGAACCCTGCGAAAGTAAGAAATTTTTAAGGGGCTAGTAAATTAAAAAAATAACTTTCATGTTAGTACATGTACATCATAGTTTATAGCTTGCCCAAAGCCGAGAGATCTGGGGACTGGCACTAGTTTCCAATTTGAGTCAAAGAATTGCCCATTGGTGCAATGCAAACAATCCCTTCCTTTGCTTGTGCTAATCAGAATTGACAACATAAGATCCAAGGGATGTTTATTTCAACAGCAAAATGTTGCTTCTTTCGTAGAATTTGAAATATACATCCCTTGTGGATAAGTTTGTAGTAAAAAGGTCTGCTTTTTCTTGGACTGAAAAGAGTAAATCACACCTTCTGCGAAATTTAACTGCGAAAGAAAGAGCAAGAAAACTTCCCTTGCTTCCACGTAGATAATAAACTGAAGATGCAACATTGTGATTGATCATCTTCAGAAGTCCCTGGTGGGCAAGCTCCTTGTATTGAGTCTTTTTGATTGCAATTTGAATAATGCAGAGATGTTTAATTTGTGTTCCTTTATGTTCAATTTGTCTTTGGAGCAGCCCAAAAGTGCTTCTCGTCTCATGAAACCTAGTAAATTGTGCTTAAAATAGCTCAGGAAAAAATTGCATAGTTTACATAATTTATCACGTAATAGCAGCCAGCCGGCCGTTCTTATCGCAAAATTTTGCATAATATCTGTTTTTTTATTGCACCCTATCAGAGGGCCTAATCGGTTTTGTATCAATTAAAAGTAGACTGAAAATTGATCAAGGTCAGCACCACGGATTCATTTTACAAGTTTCATGTAATCAAACTTGGAAAAATATATGCTGACAGAAACACAACCAACTCAGACATAAGATATGGTAGGAATGTAAGGGAAGTACAGTGTAGTTTACTCTGACTCACATACAACCGTAATATTGTTTTTAATAGGTTTTGAGACAGCTAAGGCCTTAGCACTGCACGGAGCACATGTGATCTTAGCTTGCAGGGACATGAACAAAGCAAACAAGGCAGCTGCTACAATCAGAGCAGTGCAGGTCTGTCTGAAAATAGTACCAATAGTACCACTTGCAATTAATAATTTCTCCCTTCTGTTAACTATGTGTTGGACACAGACTAAGGATAATTTACTATTAGAACCAATTATTAAACTTTACGTTATTAACATTTTTGAGTCTGGGTGATGTCAAACTGAATAGTTCAAAATGATAAGTGGAAAAAACAGCCTTGATGTGGTGAATGAGGGTAATTTAGGGATAATTAGCTTTTCAAACATGTTACCAGGTCCAGGAGAGATCAATGAATATCAATGTTTATCACTTCATCATGACAAGTGGGATAATCCCATTGAATTCTAGTGGTACTATGATGTTCAGTTTGATCTCATTACAACAAAAATTAGTGGAGTTTGAGAAGCATTTAACCCTCCATTACTTCCCCATCTATGTGCCTCCAGCCCCACCCCCCTACCCCCAAAAATTGAACTGCAATTTCCTCTATTTTGTTTCCTGTCCATGCCTCTCCGTTAACAGCTACTAGAAATTGTTCTCTATGTACGTGTATCTTTTCTCAAGATGAGTGATTTGATTGTATTTTCTACATCTACCTTATGGGGGTCTTGCAAAGGGAGGCATGCTCCCATCACTACAAGACATTAAAAAAATAAATAAATAAAAAGCAGGTTGGGGGGTGAGGGGTAAAAAAAAAAAAGAAAACCTTAAAAATATATAATAAAATATGTACATAATTTAAAAGGATTACTAAGAAAAGTCAATTAAGATAAAAAAAATTAGAACCTAATTAAAATGTCATCATTCTAATCTAAGAGCATTCTTGAATAATTGACTTTTTTCAATATCTAAAACATCGTTAGGTAAGGCATTCCATTCTCTAATAGTTCTACAATAAAATGAGTTCCTATAGCTTTCTGTGTTCGGAGTTAGTTCGATGAACTTGTCTTTGTGAAAAGATCGAAGTTGACAAGTACGCCTTTTGATATAGCATGGGATTTCTAATCCTGATTCACCATGAATAGCTTTATGAAGTAATGTGAGGTGAGCAGATTTCCTTCTGTTTTGAAGAGAGGGCCATTCCAAATCGTTAAGTAAATTGGAAACAGTTCCAGGTGTTCTCTGCCAACAGTTCTTCACTAATCTAGCAGCTCGCCGTTGGACATTTTCTATTTGCTTTATATGCTTGTCAATCCAGGGATCCCACACCGGGCTTGCATATTCCAGATGAGGTCTCACTAGTGCTTTTCTAAGCAAACTAAAATTATATTGAAAGTAATAAGATGTAAGTGATAATTGTTTATATATTTATTAAACTGTATTAATAAATACAAACTATTAAAAATAAATCCTCTCTCAATTCTTGATGCACTGAAGACTCCTGAGGCTTTTGTTGAAACCATGTTGCTGGACTTAGCATCATTTTCAAGTATAAGAAGCTTTACAGAAGAGTACAGAAGGAGGAAGCTGTAAGTGTTTTAATAGAGCTGTTCCCTCTAGTATTACAGCAGTCATCATTCACATTACATGGACCGTATAGCGGCTGCCAGAGGCGCCAATGTATGCTTTCGGTTTGACCTTGTTGAGCTGCATCGTTGCTGTACTTTGCAACGGCGATTAGCCGCGACAATTATTATTATTATTATTATTATTATTATTATTATTTTTATTAAAAGGTTACCGTATACCTTCAGGGGTGTCTCGTGTNACAGTGGGCGTAAAAGTATTTGAGCATAACTAAATACTGGAATACCAGCGCAAAATTCGTTTCATGTATGGGTGATCAGATGCGTGGGTCTGGGATCATGCACACCTCCCCAGCACCTCCCCTCAGCTAACCACTATGGGGATCAACATTGAATGCACTCTGCAATAACCTTTCAGCTTCAAATTGGAGTCATGATTGTCTTAATCTCTTTTCAACAGGCCCCTTCATATCCTGATCTGTAATGCTGCAGTGTTTGGTTTGGCCTGGACAAAGACGGAAGATGGAATTGAGAGCACCTTTGGTGTCAATCACCTTGGCCATTTCTACCTGGTGAAGTTGCTAGAGGGTATTCTCTGCTCATCATCTCCTGCCAGAGTTGTAGTTCTGTCGTCTGAATCTCACAGGTGTGTATATGACCCTGATGTTTATCGCATAAGAATTCTGAAGTCTGGTAAACTTTCAAGACAAAATGAATGCAGCTGCAACTAGGCTTCTAGGTTAGTGTTACATACAGTCATGTATTTGCCTTGTGAAGGCAAAATTGGTCATTTTGGACAAGGTGACTTCATCATGTAAAGGCAACTCTGTGAAAATTGGCTAATATTGATGGAGAAAGATACACTCATCTCCAAATAATTTTGCCAGAGGTAAAATTGCCAGTATATATACATGTCAAGGTGTACATTCTATCCCAGGCAGTGAAAAACCTTGCAAGATCTTTAAGAATCTCAGGTTAAACATCTTTGAAAGATCCTTAGTAGTAGGATCTTTGTGAGGATTGTTTAAAAGATCCTCAAGGCTTCACTGAGGATTTTACCTGAATCTTAGAATACAGTGTAAGCTTGTAGGATCTCACAAGATCTTTGAGGATCCCTATGTACTGTAAATGAGGATTGTTGCAAGATACTAAAAGTTAAATTAAAT